ATATATATATATATATATATATATATATATATATATATTGTGATTAAAAGCTGCTCCCGCATTCGCCGTCCTCCTCCATGTTTTCGCAAACGCAGACGATGGCGCTCACCATGGGCATCAGCTCCCGCACCGTCCGCTCGCAGATAGGCCCCCAAAGGCAGGGATTCCCCTCCAGCATCTGCACCGTCGTCGCGCCCAGATCCTCCTCATTCAGCTCCACGCGATTCACCAGACCAAGGGAGCCATGCGGCACGCCGTACATCATATCCGTATCGTAGGCAATGATGGTAATCGTGAAAAGCCCGCTAATCCCAGAGCACGCCTCGATAAAGGCCTCAGGATCGGTTAACACCTCAGCCTTCCCATGCATCGCGTCTATAACCTTAAGTGGTAAGTTCAGCTTCTGAAACGCGATGTTCGCCAAGGTCACCACGTCCGAACTCAGCACCGAAGACGTGTTCATCAACCAAGAGTGCAAATTGAAGGACGGCAAGGCGTACAAAAAGTCCTCGGCGGAGAAGATGTTGTTATACCGTCGATACTTCTTCTTCTCATCATCGAGGGCGAGAGGGGCGCCGTTGAGCATCGTCGGCATGCTGATACTCATCATCATCTCGGTTGCGGCCAGCGCCATGCAAGAGCAGGCGGCGGAGAAGATCGGGCGAAACGGGTGATGCACGAAGGCATGCGCCATATCGTACCCTTTCGTGTTATCATAAAGCCCCTCCTGGGGGTGCTCACGGCTCAGCAAGAGCATTCCGTACGCCCGCTGCTCCCCCAAGTCCTGGCTGCAGAGCAGCTCGAAGAGGTAATCCAAGGGTAGCACGAAGTGGCGGTAGAAAGAGCAAGGGTTGCTATCGGAGAGTGCGACGAGCCGCTGGCGGTCGTCATACCCCATCACCATCGCATAAAACCCGCCATCCCGGCTCCCATTCCACAGCTCCGGGTTCGAGTGCAGCATGAAGCGGTTGAAGTTGACGATCAGCCGACGCGTGCTCGGGCTCGCAAGGGCGTCTTGAATCTGCCTCATCAGATCCTCCTCCGTCCAAACCTTGTGTTTGGGGTTCACCGGGTGGTATGGATCCTCCTCCCCGGGCGGGAGGTTGCCTTTGTGGTAGTCGAAATGCGTCGCCTCGACCGAGAGCGCGTCGTCGAGGGCGTAGTGGGAGTAGTTCTGCACCACCTGCACGGCGGCCTCAAGCGGCATCCGTTTCGAGAGGAAATAAGAAATGTGAAACCCGGAGTAATTCAAAAAGCGCTCCACATCGGCGTGGAAGCCGAGCCGCCAAACCGCGTCCGCGAGCAAGGTTACCGCGTAGGGCCGCAAGGGATACTCAAACCGCCGCTCGGAGACCTCCAGCTGCGGGGGAAGGGCGTGCCGGCCGCACTTCAACACCTCCGCCTGAAAGTGCTTGCAGTTCAACCCTTTAATCACCTTGCTCTCCTTCGCGGAGACGACGTAGCCATAACCCATGACGGCGTTGTAAAGGCGATGAAAGGGCACATGCCAGGTCTTACGGAAGCGCTTTACGTTGACATCCGCGAGCCGAATCACGCCACGCGCCTCGTCGAGGCCGATGACGATCGCAAAGTGCGCCGCCTGCGAGCCGTCACTGAGTTTGACGTTGACGGCGATGTTGATGTTGAAGCTAATGAGCATCACACTCCGCGTCTGCACGACGAGCCGGAGGTGGGAGAGAAACTGCTCCTCGGTGATGTTCGGTTGCCCATCCTCCGAGTTCCCACGGCGCTCCGTCAGCACGATCCCAAGCCGCACCTCCTGAGAGATCTGTAAATTCTGCAAGAAGATCCGATACCACGCGAAGACGGTCGCGATCGACGAACGCGTGCTGGAGCTGACGATGATGGAAAGGGGCAGGCGCAGCTGCTGAAAGATCTTCGTGAGTGGGATCCCGCGAAGCTTCACATCGCACACGTTTGCCTTGTTGAGCAGGCAGCGGCTGCTCTGCTTCCGACGCGCGGTATCGCTTAGCAAAAAGGTGATGGTGAGATGATGCATCATCGCCAACCCCAGCAGGTGCGGCGCGATCGAAGCATCCAGGACGCTCGTCACGAGCCCCGCCGAGCTGCTGCCATCCAGCACGAAGAGCGGGAAGATGGAGGGGACTCTGGGGGAGAAGTTTTGGTCGAAAAACACGCGCACAAAGCCGCGGGAAAGCTGGGTGTAGGAATCCCGCTGACGCACCGCCTCGTACAAGACATTCAGGCTGATCACATGCTCCTCGAGGACGACGTACGAGAAGACGGAGGAGAACCGCTTCTGGAGCTCCTCGGCGGAGAGGAGGTGGCAGTAATGCGGGACGGTATCGCCGCTGCTGCTCTTACAGGTCCCCATCGCCCGCGCAGGCGGCGAGCGATCCGATTCCTCCGCATTCGACTTCCGCATAGGGTGCTGCTCGCGCGTGAGGTGTGGAATCACCAGCGTCGCCGTATTCCTCGCCACGCTAAAGTTTAACAGAATGCCAAAGGCCCCTTCGCTGTTGGGTTTGGTGCGCATATTCGCGAGGATGGACTCAGCCTCCTCCTCGGTCTCCGCCATGTTGCTGCGCAGTCGCTTCTCGTCCATCTCAATGATGTAGGGATCGAAGTTAAAAATGTAAATCGAACGACCATCACTAAGGTATTTAACGAGCGTCTTTCGAAAGTTTGCGAGCGAGATCACCGGGGCGTGCTCGCCCATGCCGTAGCTGGTATCGTTCTCGTCAATGGGATCAAGGACCTCGGAATCGAAGGTCGCCATCTCACAGTGCAAGTGCGGTAGTAGCTTCTGCTCCTCCGGCTTCAACCATTTACTGGCCTCATCATCCTCCTGAAATTCCTCAGGAGCGGTATAGAGGGCGGTGGTCGTGCTGCGGTGAAAACGAGCGTGCAGGTAACTACTCACCAGATCGTACTCCTCCGCTAGCGTGACCGCTGGCTGGCAAACACAGTGCATGCCAATGCTGTTCACGCGCAGCACCTTCTCGACTGTGGTGGGAACGCCAGAGACGTAGGAGATCGCTAAAGCGATGCACGTGAGCCATGTGCACGGCGCACCAGGAAGCAGCACCTTCTCCAACGCCTTCGTCGTGATCTCCGTCGGGATGACGTCGGATAGGCGAGGTAATGACGAAAAAAAAGTCTCCCTCGCCGATAGGACGCCCGTGCTGCGGCGAATCGCCGCCGCGGCGCCCCCGCCGTCGGAGGTCATGTAGGGATCTCCCCCACTGCTAGGCTTCTCAGTGTTGATCGCATCCAAAGCCTTGAAGTGCTCAAGGGCGCGGGGGGAGACGAAATCGGACCGCTTGCGCCCCACACTCCCCCTCGCCGCGCTTCGCCCGACGGCGACCACGCAGGACGACTCCGAATCGTCCGCGTCGACGCCGACGGTGCTGGTCGTGAACGACATCCCGGAGCGCTCCATCGGGGTTGGCACCCCATCCCGGACGAACTGCACACAAGGAGACATCTTCACCACAGGGGAGGCCCGGGGTCGGTTCTTATCCGCGCCCACAAAGCCAAACCCCTGGCAAAGCGGACGAGACTCGGTGGATTTACTTCCCCCCACCGGAGTTCCCGTCGGGGTGGTCGTCGAGGCAATCGTTACAACGGTGGTGATCTCGTCATCGGTGCCCGCGTTGCCGGCGTCTTTGGTCGATTCGGATTCCAAACGTCGGATGGCGTCGTCCTCGTTGGCCTCGGTGTCGCTTCCACTGCTGCTCGTGCTGGAAGGGCTGTATGGGAGCCAGCTTTGCTCGAGCAGGGAGCAGCTCAACTCGAGATCCCCGGGGTTCGACTGGCCGCCGGCCGAATTCGCCTGGGTAAGGGATCGCTCGCCGTTGGAGACGGAGCCGCGGGAGACGGCCGACCGCTTCAGGTTCGGCAGCGAAGGCGTCTCCCACTTCGTCTCGGAGTTGTTCGCTAAGAGCGGATCGAGGCGGTGGGAGGCCCCGCCTCCAAGGCCCCCTCCTCGATTCCCGCTTCCTTGGCTCCAGCCAAGGGAAACGGAGGAAGAGGGGTTGATCGGGCTGCGCGCGGTGAAGGCCTGTCGGTAGGCCCCCATCCCCCCACTCGCGGACAGGGTTTGCATCTTTTTCGGCGGCTGGGCCTGGTTCAGAAGGGGCGGCATCAGCGGGGGCATGGCATTGGCATCCGGGTTTTCTAAGTTCCTGGCATTGCCTTGGATGGGCTCCAGTTTGCTGGTGCTAGAGGAATACCCCTCGATATTCTTCGAGTCGTCACTGGTTAAATTTGCTTTTCCTTTTTTCCTCCCATCATGTCTCGATGGAAAGGTCTTGCAATTCAACTCGAGACCACCACTAATTGCAGGTGTTTTGAAGGCTGTACTTCGACCTTTCCTTCTATTGTCCTCTTCACTGCTAGGAATAAGTGATGGGGTACGCGGGTCCGACTCCACATACTCAGGAGACGGTGTCTTGCTTCTAGAACTCGGGACATTGGGTCTTATCGAATAGATATTGTGAAAAGCACCCCCGGGGGTGTTCAAAGTTGGTGGCGACTTCACCGCAAGGCTGAACGCACCTCCAGGTCCAGGAGAACGCACTTGCTCCCCGGGGCTTGCCGCGAAGCCCCTATCAATTTGAGTAGAATTATATACAGAACATTTGGTTTTACGATTTTTGTCAACCCCAAACACAGACTTGTAATCCACAGAGGTGTTTTTGAGCAAATTATGGGTATTCTTTCCAGGGTTACGAGAAGTCCTTCCATTGCTTGTAATGCTTGAATTTTTTTGTGCGTTAGGGACGGGATTGGAATCGTTGGACATAGCCAAGCACTTCCTTACGGCACGGAATAAGTAAATGCACCAGATGCACTCCTTTTTTTGCCTTTATATTACTACCTTTCAAAAAAAATGTTTTTTCTGCGATCAAAAAGAGTCACGTTTGTACTCTCTTCAATTATCTATACTTTTAACTTCATGATGTAAATATGACAAAATGACCGAAAAACGCACAAAGGGGGGAACAAAAAAGTTTAAAAGTATAGAAATCTCAACTCCATATTTTAGACAGGTGAATATATCGTTAAAATAATTTTTAAAAACATGCGCCCTTGTGATAAATCCTGAGGGAAACGCTTTGTGGAAAAGCTCAAAATATAAATAGCCGAAAATAATCTTGATCTTTAGGCTGGTAAACACATTTCGTATTATTTGGTATATTCTCATTCCTCCAAACATATATTTGTCCCCCTTCCTCACCCTCATATATTGATTTTAAGAATAAAAATCATTCAGATTGTGCCGGTGCACCGCGCCTATGAGTGTGCAAGTACCTATTGTCAACTTCAAATCAGGAAGTCATCTTGTATAGCAACCAGGACACCGTTAATACTGTTAATACAGCGTTGTAGGTGAAGATGATCTCTTTAATTGAGTTTAACGCAGGTGTTTGTACGGTAGCTGAATCTCTCCATAAGGACATGGACATTTCCCATTCCCTCCGGCATTTCTCAAATGACATCGTCTCTATATGGCAGATGTCCTTGTAGACGGATGGGGTTAGCCATAAAAAAGATGGTGCCGTTGTCTCCTTGCATGAAATAAAAGAATTGTCTTGCATCGAGCCGCCTGCCTCGTCCTTTGAAGAAGGCGATGTCTCTTGAATCCTTTCAAGCTGCGTTCTAAGTTTGCAGCTGTCCTTGTGTTGTCCGTCTTCTCTTCTGTCCGAGAAATTGGCATCAATAGGAGGCCTGCCGTGCGGGGATGGCTTAGTGGTATATAGAAGAAAGTTCGCATCGAACCCTAGTGAATCAGTATCGTAGAAATTCTTAATTGTCCTCATCAGCCGAAAGCCGCGCCGAGTGTAAAAATTCATAAGGAAAAGATCGTTGGCAATGCAGTGAAGCCAAACCTCCCGCACACCGCGCTGAACGACCGGGTCCTGCCCCGCCCAATCTCGCTCCAAGGAAGCTAACCCTTCAAAGAGGGTATTTAACTCAGGACCCCTCGTGTAGGAGGGGTACTCAACTTGGCCAGAGGGCACATCATGCACCGTCTGCCTTTGCGGCGTCCGTCGGGCCCATAGCCAAGACGGAACCCATGAGCCTGCGTACTTCAAAATGTTTTCCATTATTCTACTCTTCTTCTTCCGTCCCCCCTCTGTGGGTGTCGCCACGCCAGCCGGCTCTCTCAAGAAGTCCGCACTACCCCAGGCCTTTATACCGACGTTACCACCATTTGGCAAATGAGATGCCTCAATGAAGGCTTTGGTGAAAGACGAAGTCGTTTTTAAGATCTCCGCGATGCGTGAGGTGTCGTAGTGCAGATACGACGAGGCGCGCACGGGCACATTCGCTACGTAGTCAAGGAAATGGTCGAGCAGTGCGCCTCCAAAGCCAAGACCACGGAAAATTGGATCGATGGCAAGCGAACAGAGGTAGCATGTAGGGTTAGTGAACAGATGGCGACCCTGGTCCCGCGCATAACCAAGCTCCCCAGCTGCTAAGCCAATTACTACTGAAAAATTTTGATTACTACCCCCTTCATCATCAGAAGCGTGATTTCCCGTCACATTATTGTCGTGCTTGGAATGGGACGGCTCGTTTGCGTCCATCATACCCCCCCTTTCCACTTCCTCCTCTACGTCCTCAAGTTCACGAATCATCTCATCCGTTTCGGCGCGCATTCTCTGCACAATGGAATCACCTTCAGCGGGAGGGTCTATGCGGGAAAGCTGTTCGACGCTAAGCTGAGTTATTGAGGCCAAATCCTCATGCTTATTTTTATTTCGTACTGATCGCGGCCCCTCACCATACTGTGATTTCTGCATCGTTTGGTACGCCTCAGGCGTAGTCAGCGCAACTACACTCATGCAGTCAGGTCCTGATAACCAGCGATAGTAAGCTCGGTCATACTCAATTGGAAAAGACTGCAAATGGATTCGCCAGATGGTGCGCAACTCGCGTGGACGGATGCCACAGCGCAGCTTCACTGGGATGGTAGCAGCATCTGAGCCACTGACGCGATCAGGGGATGAAGGCTGGGAAGCATTTTCTCCGACATAGGATCTAGACGTTCTGTTTGTGTCCTTTTGCCTGCTACCGCTCGACGAAGTAGTGGTGTTGTCAATGTTTGCTTGGCAACTCCTATGGAGTGGGAAATTGATGACTTGAGGAAGTGAAGACACCATATCTCCCACTAGGAGATCCAAGCAGGGAAAAAGTAAAAACCTGGTGGTTCTCTTTTTTGTACAGAATGAGGTAGGGAAAAAGAAATAGATTCAATAGAGCGCAATATAAAAAGTAAGAGAACGTCAGGGTTTACTGTCAATAAAGTCCAGACCCTACTTAACGAATATTAATAAAACATTGATTTCAAAAATTTACTTAACTCTCAATTTTATAATGAAAATTTTACCAAAGATAATATTGCATTCCTGATTTAGAAGGACTTAAAAAGATATATATCAATAAAAAATGGACAGAATTCAATGCAGAAATTGAAAACAAAATCAACAATCCATTTTTCTCTAAATTTTCACTTTTTTTTTTTGACGAACCCACTGACTTTTGTCATAAGAGGGTAACATTGAATATATATTAATTATTTATTATGCTCATATCACTGAACCAGCTTGTACCCAGCTGCCTCAGCCTTAGCAGTCTTCAATCTCCGTGTCAGGTACTCAAGAACAAAGAAGCATATCACTGTATGCGATGCAGCACGAGAAAAGTACGGTAAGAAAGCGCTGTACATTGACAAGAATCCCTCCTCACGGATAATTTTAGTGACACACTGGACCGCATTCGTGTAGCGCCGCTCCACGCCGGTTGGAAGTTTGGCCTCCATCGACATGCGCACCCTCGCGAGCTCCACAGGCATGGTAGCAATACCATAAATAAAAGCGGTAAGCACACTCGCGATGTTCACAATAATGTTGTCGTCGAAGGGCACCGAGCGCTTACGGTTATATCCACGCAGCTTTGTTAAAAACTGGTCATGCACAGCTACCTGCGCCACACCCACCAGGGCAGCACGCGAACCCAAAGCACCAAAGCCAAACCAGAACCCCTTGAGGCCACTGCTTGTCCATATCCTGCTCGCGGCTCCCAGAATTGACATCTTCTTCTGCGACGCGGTGGTGGTCTGCAGCACCATGCACACCTCCACAGGAGAGGACAGAAAGGACGCAAAGACACCCGCCCCCGCACCCGCCAACGCGCGATCCAGGATGTTGGCCTTGGTCGGATCCGCAGTCTGCTTCAGGCCCAATGAGACCTCCGCTCTCAGCAGCGTGTCACGAAAGGAGGGGTAGAATCCGAGACGGCCAGTGGTATACACTATCTGCCGCCCCAGCCCGCTTGAGAGGCCCCGGTAAAAGCCTTTTTGTGCCGTGGCCCTGAAAGCGGCCATCTGGCCGTTCTTTCCCTCCGGTGACGTCATCAACGTGTTCTTCCACATTTCAAATGGATGGGCAAAGCACCAGGCGAACATCCCGGCAAACCCCGAGACCGCTAAGGTCTGCCACGGTGGGATGGTCACCTTCGAGGCATGTATGGTTTTCACGTCAGACATTTCGCTGTTGAAATACCTTTGATACGGTAAAAATACTTGGTTATATAAATAAGTACTTGGGTATGTTCAATTGAAGATGTATAAGTATTATATTCCACTAATTGCAAAACAAAAAAAAACTATAGAAGGTTGAAAAAGGACCTGTGTGATTGTCAAGTGTTAGAATAACCGGAGGGCTGTACACATCTCATCCACACACGGGTAGAATAGAGAGCATTTCAGCGGAGAGGAAATGACCAAAAAGAAGCTTTTGTTCTCCGTCCATCCAGAGGCAAAGGCGAGAATAACGCCAATTCCCATCCCATTGGGGGAGACTATTAACAAGCAGCCTACATCAAGAGGGGATGAAATGTTCAACGCATACAAAATAAAATAAATAAATAAATAGGGAAACGGAACAAACCACCTTGACGGCACACGCTGCAAATCGATTGCGCTGTGACAACCTCTTTCATCTGCAAAAAGAATCAATGGCCTAGATATCCTCGATCTCGGAACTCACAGATGATGCACACGCCTCCTTTGCGATAGGGGCTCCTCCAATGAGTCCACGGCCCGCCGCATCTCGGCTGGAATCAAGTCGGGGCTTCGCCTGCGCAGCATCGCCGGTAGTGTCTCGATCTGCTGTCATCCCCTGCAAGACGCGCTTGCGCAGTGAATCTCGCCAGTGGTCGTACAAATGCGTTGGCGTACGCCCGGGCTGCCAAACGCTCTGGAAAGCGCGAAATATATACTGAAAGCGTGTGGTGCCCTGGTAGTCAAACCTCTTCACACCCTGAATAATGGCCTCGTCCTCCTCGGGAGTGAAGCGCTTGCGGCGCTTGATCTTCCCTGACTGAGGCAATACGGCGGGGCTCTGCGAATGCCCTGTGGTGGCACGTCCATCCCCCTCGCCCCCCTTATAAAGTTCAGCGCAATCAAGCTCGTCAAAAGCTCGGATCGCCGCGGCAACCCTCTCCTCGTGAGTTGTAGGGTGCCGTACGAGTAGTTGTGGCGCGCGTGGTACGGCCGATGGCTCATCAGCCGTATCACACAGACTGCCCCCGCCCCCAGGCAGGAGATTAGAGGGAGCAGGGGACGCCCTTCCCGCCGATTCGGGTTGTTGTGTAACCACAACGGCATCGCATTGGTCCGTCCGACGCGGGCTCCGAACAGGGGTAACGGTGCTCACATGACAGTTGGCTGCAACAGATGCAGCGCTCGCGAAGGGCTCCGATGTCTCCCGCCGCGGCGACCGGGTTGAGGGTGCCACGGACGGCTGAGACGCCTTCGAGACGGTGGAGAGCGGCCGCTTTTCCGCCGCACGCGCGACCGGTGACCGCGAACGTCGAGGATGGCTGCCTACTGAGTCAAAGTCTTCAGCCACTCGCGTGGTGCCAGGGACCGCAGTCACACGACGAAGCACCTCCAGCGCATCCTCCTCGGCCACTGACCTGTCCAGGAGCTCAAAGAGGGCGCTGACCCCAAAGGGCTGCTCAGGCACATCGCGCTTCACCTCCGCAATCTGCTCCAACATCCGAGTGAGGCTGTCCTCAGGACGAAGCGGAGGGGGGGCTTCATCACCCCGTTGAGACACGGGAGGAACGGGACGGTGTTGGGACAGGCCCGTCGTCGCATCTGGACCGGTGCTGGTGTCCAGATTAGCATCCGAGGGCCGTCGCTTCTGCAAGGGGGGCGAGGAAGATGGGCCCCCCACCACACAGAGGTCGTCCTGCTCAATGCACCGACCTCTCTTGTGGAGCTCCACCGTCGGCGCCACGACGGCTCCCGCTCCAGAAGAGGTGCCCCCACTACTGGTGCTGTCTAAACCAACACCCTCACCTCGCACAGCGCACGGCCCCGCTCCCCCTCGCCCCCTGCCCTCCGCACCCTCACCATCCGCATGCGAGCACCCCTCTGGGGGTACCAATACTGACTGCAGCGGATTGCGATATGTCATGTGTGAGCAGTAGGTCTGCAAGAGGTTCGATAGCATGCGTAGGTCCGGCATTTGATCGCTCTCCTCGCCCCCATGCACCTCGCTCTCACGGTTGCATGGCCGTTTGCGGCGTTGGCTCCCTGAGGTTGGTGTTGGACGCGACGACTCACGCGTGGGGTCCCCGTGCTGCGCTGTTTGGCGCGGACAGGGTGGGTGCTCCATGTGGGCCAATGTCTCGCCGAGCAGTGTGTGCAATATGATGGCGCCTGCGTCCCCCTCAAGGGGAGTCTGTCTGCGGGCGTCGCTCACACCCCTGCAGGAGTGACCACTGATCGGTGGTTGCGGTCCCACCTCCTCCTGCAGAATCCCCCCTTCAGGTACACCTTCATCCCTCCTTGTGCTACCCTCACCTCTAGTGATCGGAGGGCCACTGCGAGATCCTCTAACCCGGGAGAAGCTCGCTTGCATGCACCACTGCAACATTATATAAAGCTCTGCTGGCGTGATGGAGTTTTGAACTGGTGTAATCACGCCGCACACTGAATCTCCAGTCGCACCCTGCTCACCGCCACTGCCCCCTGTGACATCCCCCGATGCGCTAGATGGGGGTTTAGGCGTGACCAGCAACTCCTTCCCATGCTGCTTGGCATGATCCGAGGGGTTATTGCAGGCCTCCAAGCCCGAACCATTGATTATAGCCGCCACAAGCCCCTCTGGATATGTGCAAGTACGCCAAAAAAGGGGATTTTCGTGAACATGAGGCAGCGCAATGATCGCGAACGCTGCCATTGCATTGCCCCGCTGCAAGTGACTCAGCAAGATGCGATGGAGAGCATCGAAATATTGAAAATCCATCGCGCTTCCCCTCCCTCTCCGTCTATCTTGCTTTTTAACAGTAGTCAAAAGTCAAAAAATCTATGGTAAGTATACTGAACCCTCACAACACCTAATAAGAGAAAAAACGCAGAAAGGTATCAAACAAAGTGTTTCTACCCTCGATACGATGATAATCATGTACATACGCATAAGCTGATGCAAATAAGAAAGGCATGGGTATGCTTTTACTTTTGAATTCCTTGATGGTTACCACGATTAAGAGGACTCCTAATAAACAAAGCACACGACCCAAGGAAAGGAACATCACATGGGCAATAACTCCTACCTGGGCTAAGATATGAATGTAGTTGTGATTGGTGCTTCCATACACCATAATTACATCATGGGACAAATTTAAAGGGCATATTTCGACGATCAGCGTATCCACAAGTCTTCTCTTTACCTTGTTCTCCTCCATCTAAGAGATGGTGTTGGACACGCTGTGGTGAACACCACTTGCCAAAAACTATGTGAACCCTACACAGAGTTTGTCACTTACCCGTCCAAACCACTCCTAGTCGATCGAAAAAATGTGCCGGTTTTTCAAGGGTATAGCCTTCGCCCTCTCGAGCATCCGCTTCTCCATCTCTTCCAACTCCATTAGCTTCTCCAGCCGCCTCTTGGAGCGCTGCGCATCACGCTGAACCTTTAAAGCGGCCGCCTCAGCCTCCTCGTCCTCCTTTGCAGCCGCAGCAGCCACTTGCTCCTGCAGCTTGTGAACCCACGCATCCTGCTGCGCTGCCAGTGCCGCGGCCTCGCTCTCCGGATCAGCAGAGACCTCACGCCGTGCCCTCATCCCTTCCCCTTCACCAACACCAGCCACGCTCTCCGCACTGCCCGTCGCGGCAGCCTTATCGTCCGCAGCGCGCGCCGCTTCTGTCGCACTGCTGGCAGCCGCCTCTCGAGCCCGCCGAGCCTCCAGGATTTTTGCCAGTGCCTCCTGCGCACGCGACGTGTTCTCGAAATGTCGAAACACGTTACTATGCCCCTCCGGCACCGTCGCGGGATCACCAACGGGGTCGGCATCGGTGGAAGGCGACAAAGGGGGGGGCGGTGGGTGCAACCCAGCGGGCGTCGGCTCTATATCAGTGATTGTTTCATCACTTGCGGCCCCGCCGTCCTTGCCGTCGGGGGCGGTACCCTCACGGCATTCCGTCGTCCCAGTCCCGATCCTCGCACTCACCGCCACCGTCGCTGGCGTGTTCACGGATGTTGATTCCGACGCGACCACTGTCGACCCCGGGGAGGGTCCCACGCTTGGGGTGCCGTCAGAATCCCCGCATGAGTGCTTCATCGCCTCCCCGGACGCCGGGCGGGTGTCGGCAACCGCCACCCCCGACGTTTTCCCATCGGCTGATATCCCAGCCGCTTCGTTATGGTCGTCATGAGCAACCGAGGAGGGCGCGTCTGGCTTCCCAACTGCAACATAGCGTTGCCTTACCTCCTCGGCGGCCGCAGCCGACTCCTCGGACAGGACTGGCGGGATTACGCCGAGAACGAGGCTCAGTACGTGTGTCACACGGTCAAAACGAGCGCTAACGGGAGTTTCCCTCACAGTGAACGGTAGCACCAGTAAGCCCTCGTAGTGGTTCTGAGTGGCGGTCTTGTCGATGCGCACAGCCCCACCATCCTCGGTGATGCTGATATCCAGCCCAGAGGCATGATGAACACCGTCAAACGTCAGCTTCACCACCAGCTCCTCTGGCACGCCAATGCGCTTGTCAACCACCCGCCAGGACCACGCGTCCGTCAAGTCAATGCGGCCGCGGTGAAGGATGCGATGCGGTGGTAACACAGCCTGCGGATCCGTCACGGCTTTTCGTTTTGGGGGTCCCTCGCTACCCGCGGCATCGGCACGCTGCTCGCGCACGGGTGCCTCGCCGTGGTGTTCAGACGACGACGGCGCCGGTGTTACCGCAGAAAAATCGGGGCCCGCCCCCGCACCCTGAGGCAAATTAGTGGTAGGCCTGGTCAGCACAGGGGCGCCTCGGTCGACCTCAAATAACGAAGCCCCTTTTTTATCCTTGGTGCGTATCGTTTGATTCTTCAGCGTACCGACCACCGTCGCTACAGTGCTCGGCAGTCGCGTAAACTCAAATCCATTAGACTCATGATAACCGCTGTTTATGTGCTCGACGGCTATCTCAACAAGAAAACACAAGAATCGATTGCTCCGGTCCGCAAGCGAAAGGGTTTGAGGGTGGAACACGGCATCGTATACGTAGCACCATGAGCCGTTGGCATCGGTAGCCTTATTATTCTCCCCCTCGCTTGTCCTACCGTCCACTTCCTTCTTCCCCTTCGTCGCACGGCTGAATGACTCGATCCGCTTTTGAGAAACGGAAACCGGTACGTGCCAGTTACTTCCCATCCGATCGCCGGTCGGCTCCTCGCGGTACACCGGGACCTTCTCGCTGGAACACATATTAATGAAGGTGTGAACGTCCTTCACCGTGGTGGCCGTCCCAGACGACGTGGGCATTATCTTCTTCATATCCACGGCTGAAATCCTCCTCGACGTCGGATTGAGAAGCTCCACGACGAACCCAGGACGCGGAAAGATAAATTCAAAACTAAAGTCACCGCTCTCTTTAGCCTCACGTTCCGCCTGTTCCAGGTAGGCCTCCTCCTCGCGTAAGGTCTCGGGATCACTCAGGGACTCCATGTACTCATGCATTAGCTTAGCAAAGACAGGGTCCTTTATTTTCTCACGGATGGCGTTTAGCTCCTCCGGGGTGGCCTGAAAGCCGCTGTCCTTGCCACTGGATGAAGTGCCGCCACTACTATCATCGGCCTTGCTTCTTCCCTCATGGTCGGATCTGGAAATCGACAGGTTAATCGTCTCCAACGGCATTAGCACAGTATACTCTAGGCGATGCCTTAACCAATACAAAGAACCTATTTGCGTTCGGTGTGTGTGTTAGTTACCTTCTAATGAAGAAGAAATGCAAGACTCACAATATTTTGCTCCCAATGCCTGCACGGGGTGAAGTAAAGAGAACTAAAACTGATCACAGCAACAGTTTGTGAAGGGATGGAGGAAAAGCATTTCAAAACAGGAAGAAAGATGGCGACAAATATAGCTCATCCCGTCACAGCTCTGCAAAGAAAAAAAAGCCCGACAGGCTTTGCAACAATAACGCTTCCTATGACTGTGACACGTGCCTATTTGTGGGTGGAGGGAGGGGGGGGGAACAAAACACTTCGGGAATCCACCCTCCTCTCGGCCACGAGCGCCCCTACCTCCCTGAGATCCGACGCACTGTAGACGGCGTCGACCGTCGGCACGAAGCCCCACTGCAGTTGCCACGCCGCCCTGCCCTCGGGAGTCTGCACCAGCTGCGGCCCGGGATGCAAGTAGTGACGGACCGAGGGGGGGAGGTCCCTCCCACCGCGCGACACGTGTGGGGCCCGCCCCGACGCCCCGTCCATCTTTTCTTCGAAGAGCTCGTCGAGGGCCTCCTCGTAAGGACCGTCCCGGAGGCAGCCACGCTGGTCCGACCCCTGCCCCACGCCGTCGAGGTCCCCTTCCACACCTGGCGGAGTCGAACACGAGCCCACATCGCTGCCTCGGCGGAGGAACGAAGGCCTTGGAGGCGCCGCGGCACTCGACCTTCGGCGGTACAAGCCGTTCGGTGCGGAAGAATAGCACAGGGTTAGCTCCTCACCAGGTTGCACGTCTCGTATCGTGAACACATGCACATAGGGGTGGTATAGCAAATCGAGTGGCACACCGGCGAACAGGTTATCTAGTACATCGATACCGCAAAACGAGCTGGGGTCGCTCATGGTGAAGTACGTATTGGGCAACGGACTGTGATTGAGTTTATCGATAAGAGGAATCAACGTCGCACTCCCCTCTCGGCGAGAGAGGACCAGGCTTATCCACCACGCATACTCCGCCTTCCCAATAGCGCATTCCGTCGGCGTCACAGCGATGCCATCATCACTACCAGATGGAAACCCGGACGTAAAACCGAGCCTCTCCCGCACGTATGGGCTGAGTGGCTCACCTTTCATATCCTGATGGAAAAAGTCCCATAGACTGAGCGCGGGGCTCAAGGCCAACGGGGATGCACACTTGTCCGCCTTGCTCCCTCGTGAAGCAGCCGTGGATTCACCGCTTACGCCATTTCCCACCCCCGTAGCTAACGCCTGGCCCCCCGACGTCGTTCTGATCTCCAGCAATTCCATCAGCTCCTCGCGCGATATAAAGGGCAGGTTCCGCACGGGAACAACGTTTTCCTTGAGATACTGCACGTACCCGAAGTGTGGCACCGTCGGGTCCTCAGAAACGGAGATTAACTGACCAGCCAGATCCTCCAAATGAATAAAATAATCAAGCAGTGGATCCGCCGCGTGTGGTGGATCCGCAAAGAACGCCGCCTCCGTCGGGATACTCAGCACAAACATACCAGCGGGTATACGCCTCGTGGCATAGAATCTGCTTGTCTGCGAATGGGTTCGTGGCGGCGACTGCGCTGCGTCAAACGCGGCAGATCTTGTCGAATGAACAGGTGGACTGAGAGTGACAAACGACGAGATAATAGCCTTCAAACCAAAGCGACAACTGTTGATAAACGCTGAGTCCGCTGCTCGTGGCATGAACCATAGCCTTCGATTCCCATCAACGTCGACAGAACCGGAAGGTCCCGGACTGGCACAGACTTTGTATTCAAGGTCCTGTTGGATCAGAACCGCTTCTGGAGAACTTGACAACGCACTGCGATGCGCGGCGCTTGAAACATCCATCCGGTCAGGTGCGCCGGAATGAAGTGGTCCCCATCTCCGATTAATAGCCTCGTGCAGCCGGTAGCGCCAGGCGGACAGCGCATCTGTGCCCATCCCCAGCTCCTCGCAGAAGAACCTCAGCACACGTTCACCCTCTGTCGCCGTCCTTGGCTCAGAAGGAAACACAGACGTCCTCGAGGGGGTGGGGTTCGTTAGCGTGGCAGCGGCAGAGCCCCCCAATGCGCGCTGTTCGTAAATCCGTGCTAAAGCAGGAAGACTGTAATGGATGTGCCTTAACAGCAGCGATGGGCCTTTTGTCAACGCAGTCATGATATCATCTGCATAAACATGCCCTACAGCTGGTTTATCAAGGCTTTTGCTTCATTTACAAAGGATAAATTTAGATATATGCATATATATACATATATATATAGATGGATAGATGGATAGATTTTTATCGAGTGAGTAGAGAAGCGAGAAAAAAAGTGGACACGAAGCATAGCAATAATACAAGAAATTGCAGGGGCTACCTGCGCGCATATGAATGAGCAAGAGGGGAGATCAAGTGCAAGAAAGATCACGTATCAGTTTAATCACGTAT